AAAAAAAAAATTACAATGTAGTAAAAAGATATACAAAATTCACAGTTAGAGAATGCCTTCCAGAAGTATTAGCACTTCCCTTCCTGGAGGTGCCCATCACTCATTTTAGCCCTGGCCTGAGGCTGTGCTACTGAGACCCACTCATCCTTCCTGGCCAGAAGTCCTCTCTCCTCCTTGCCTTCACTTCCACAAGTTCAGGTTCTTCTCCCCGTATGTTAAGCCCCAGCTAGGGATGTGAAAAACAAGTTCATGCCATAATCATCTGACAAGAGGAAGGCCCATTGAACAGAAATGTGGTCCATGGAGGTCGGAAGCATCTCTGAAACTACCAGTAGCGCTTATCTCCCATTCATGCCACTAAACGGCTTATCAGAATTTTCCTTTCTTGACTAAAGGGAGAGTCTGCTGTAAAGACAATTCCTTTTCCCTTTCTTTTGTGGTAAAGTATATAAAATTTACCATTTTAAATATTTTACCATATAGCTTAGTGGCTTAAATACATTCAGTTTGTTGTGCAACCAGGACTATAATTCATTTCCAGAAGTTTTTCATCATCCCAGACTAAAACTCTTTACTCATTAAACAGTTAATCCTCATTCTTTCCTTCTCTCAGGCCCCTGGTAATCTTATGAAGGTATGTTGAAATTTATCAAATGCTTTTTCTGCATCTATTGAGATGATCACATGGTTTTTGTCCTTCATTCTGTTGATCTGATATATCACATTTGTCTATTTGCATATGTCAAACTATCCTTCTATCCTTAGGATAAATCCCTTTTGGTCATGGTGAATAATCTTTTTAATGTGCTGCCAGATTCCGTTTACTAGTATTTTGTTGAGGATTTTTGCATCTGTGCTCATCAGGGATATAGGCCTATAGTTTTCTTTTTTGGTTGTATCCTTGTCTGGTTTTGGAATCAGGTTAATGCTGGCCTTGAGGAATGAGTTTAAAAGAATTTTCTCCCCTTAAATTTTCTGGAAGAGTTTGAAAAGAAATAGTATTAGTTATTTTCTAAATGTTTGGTAGGATTCAGCAGCAAAGTCTTGAGGTCTTGGGCTTTTCTTTGATGGAAGACTTTTTAAAAATTATGGATTCAGTTTTATTATTAATAATTGGTCTATTCAGAGTTTCTGTTTCTTCTTGAGTCAGTCTTGGTAGGGTATACGTATCCATGAATTTATCCATTTTTGCTAGGTTTTCCATCTTGTTGGTGTACAGTTGTTCATGGTAGTCTTCAGTGATTCTTTTTTTATTTTAAATTTCTGTGCTATTAATTGTACAGTCTCTTCTCCTTTCTGATTTTATTTATTTGGGTATTTTCTCTTTTATTCTTGGTTAGTTTAGGTAATCATTTGTCAGTTTCATTTATATTTTCAAACAGATAAGTTTTTATTTCATTTCTCTTTTGTATTTTGTTTTCAGTTTCAATTTCATTTATTTCTGCTCTAATCGTTATTATTTATTTCCTTCTACTAATTTGGGGTTTGTTTTGTTTTTGTTTTTCTAGTCCCTAGTGATACAGTGTTACATTGTTTATTTGAAATCTTTCTACTTTTCTGATGTAGCCATTATTGTTATAAACTTCTCTCTTAATACTGCTTCTGCTGTACTCCATACATTTTGGAATTTAGGTTTCTATTTTCATTTATTTCAAGACATTTTAAAATATCCTTCTTAATTTCTTCATGACCAATTGGTCATTCAGGAGCATTTTTTTTTTTTTTAAATTTCCATGCATTTTTACAGTTTTGACCGTTTCTCTTGTAATATACTTTGGATGTCCCCTCTGAATCTCATGTTGAGATGTAAATCCTAGTGTTAGAGGTGAGACCTGGTGGGAGGTGTTTGAGTCATGGGAGCAGATCTCTCACGGCTTAGTGCTGTCCACCTGGTAGTGAGAGAGTTTTCACAGGATCCACCCATTTAAGTGTGTAGCACTTCACCCATCCTTTCTCCTGTTTTTACAGTGTGATGTGCCTGCTCCCACTTCACCTTCCACAATGAGTAAAATCTTCCTGATGGCTCCCCAAAAGCAGATACTGGCACTGTGCTTCCTGTACAGCCTGCAGAGCCATGAGCCAAAGAAACCTCTTTTCTTATAAATTACCAAGTCTCAGGTATTTTTTATCACAGCCTAATACACTCTTGTTATTTATTTCTAGATTATTTCATCGTGGTAAGAAAATATATTTGATATTATTTCAGTTCTTTTAAATGTGTTGAGGATTGTTTTGTGGCCTAACATGTAACCTGTCCTGAAGAATATTTCATGTGTTGATGAAAAAAAAAAAAAAAAGTATTCTGTAGCTGCTAGATGAAATGTTCTGTAAATATCAGTTAGGTCTATTTCATCCAAAGTGCAGCTTAAATCCAAATTTCTTTGTTTATTTTCTCTCTATATCATCTGCCCATGCTGAGAACAAAGTGTTGAAGTCTCCTGTGATTACTGTATTGTAGTCTATCTCTCCCTTTAGATTCGATAACGTTTGTTTTATGTATCTATGTGCTCTGGTGTTGGGGCATACATATTTACAATTGGTATGTTCTCTTTATGAATTGATCCTTTTTATCATTATAGGATGACCTTGTTTGTATCTTTTTAGAGGTTTGATTAAAATCTCTTTTATCTTCGTAAGTATAGTTACTCCTGCTCAATTTTGGTTTCTCTTTACATGGAATGTCTTTTTCCATCTCTTTACTTCTAGTCTATCTGTACTATTATAGGTGAAGTAAGTTTATTGTGAACAGAATATAGTTGGGTCTTTTTTTTCCACCTAGTTATCCAGTCTGTATCTTTTTTTGTTTTTTTTTTTGTTGTTGTTGTTGTTGTTGTTGTTGCTGTTGTGTTTTTTTTGTTGTTGTTTTGCTTTGTTTTTTTGAGATGGAGTCTCACTCTGTCACCCAGGCTGGAGTGCCGTGGCGCCATCTTGGCTCACTGCAACCTCTGCCTCCCTGGTTCAAGTCAGTCTATATCTTTTAAGTGGAGAATTTAATCCATTTACATTCAAGGTTATTATTTATAGGTGAAGACTTACTCCTGTTATTTCGTTAATTGTTTTCTTGTAGTTTTGTATATTCTTTGTTCTTTTCTTCCTCTCTTATTGTTTATTATTGTGGTTTAATGATTTTCTGTAATATAAAGTTTATTTTCTGTTTCTCCTTTGTGTATCTGCTCTACCAGTTAGTTTTATACTTTTGCATGTTTTCATGATGATTGTCGTTTTGCTTCTAGATGTAGGACTCCCTTGAGCATGTTTTGGTAAGGCTGGTGAGTGGTAATAAATTCCCTTAGTTTTTGTTTGTCTGGGAAAGATGTTTTTATCTCTCATTTCTGAAAGATACCTTTTCTGGGTGTAGTCTCGAGTGGAGTATTTTTTTCCCCCTTTAACATTTTGAATATATCATCCCATTCTCTCTTGGCCTGTTAGCTTTCTCTTAAGAAATGTGCTGTTAATCTAATGGGGATTCCCTTAGAGTGACTTTATATTTTTTATTGCTGTTTTAAGAATTCTCACTGTCTTTGATTTTTTTTTTTTTTTTTTTTTTTTTTTTGGTGGGCTGAATTGCATGCTGTTTTTCTTTCTTTTCTTTTTTTAATTACATCTTAAGTTCTGGGATACAAGTGCAGAACATGCAGGTTTGTTACATAGGTATACACGTGCCATGGTGGTTTGCTGCACCCATCAACCCATTATGTACATTAGGTATTTCTCCTAATGCTATCCCTCCCCCAGCTCCCCATCCCCCAACAGCCCCCAGTGTGTGATGTTCCCCTCCCTGTGTCCATGTGTTCTCGTTGTTCAACTCCCACTTATGAGTGAGAACGTGCAGTGTTTGGTTTTGTGTTCCTGTGTTAGTTTGCTGAGAATGATGGCTTCCAGCTTCATCCATGTCCCTGCAAAAAACATGAACTCCTCCTTTTTTATGGCTGTATAGTATTCCATGGTGTATATGTGCCACATTTTCTTTATCCATTCTACCATTTATGGGCATTTGGGTTGGATCTAAGTCTTTGCTATTGTGAATAGTGCTGCAATAAATATGCGTGTGCATGTGTCTTTATAGTAGAATGACTTATAATCCTTTGGGTGTATACCCAGTAATAAGATTGCTGAGTCAAATGGTATTTCTGGTTCTAGATCCTTGAGGAATCACCATACTGTCTTCTACAATGATTGAAATAATTTACACTCCTACCAACAGTGTAAAAGCGTACCTATTTCTCACCATCCTCTCCAGCATCTGTTGTTTCCTGGCTTTCTAATGATCACTATTCTAACTGGCGTGGGATGGTATCTCATTATGGTTTTGATTTGCATTTCTCTAATGACCCATGATGATGAGCTTTTTTTCATATGTTTGTTGGCCACATAAATGTCTTCTTTTGAGAAGTGTCTGTTCATATCCTTTGCCCACTTTTTGATGGGGTTGTCTTTTTCTTGTAAATTTGTTTGAGTTCCTTGTAGATTCTGGATATAAGCCCTTTGTCAGATGGATAGATTGCAAAATTATTATTATTTTTTTATTTTTTTTATTCATTTTTTGCTGTGCAGAAGCTCTTTAGTTTAATTAGATCCCATTTGTCAATTCTGGCTTTTGTTGCCATTGCTTTTGGTGTTTAGTCATGAAGCCTTTGCCCACGCCTATGTCCTGAATGGTATTGCCTAGGTTTTCTTCTAGGGTTTTTATGGTTTTAGGTTTTACATTTATGTCTTCAATCTGTCTTATACAAAAGTTAATTTTTGTATAAGGTGTAAGGAAGGGGTCCAGTTTCAGTTTTCTGCATATGGCTAGCCAGTTTTCCCTACACCATTTATTAAATAGGGAATCCTTTCCTCATTGCTTGTTTTTGTTAGGTTTGTCAAAGATCAGATGGTTGTAGATGTGTGGCATTATTTCTGAGGCCTCTGTTCTGTTCCATTGGTCTATATATCTGTTTTGGTACCAGTACCATGCTGTTTTGGTTACTGTAGGCTTGTAGTATAGTTTGAAGTCAGGTAGCTTGATGCTGCCACCTTTGTTCTTTTTGCTTATGATTGTCTTAGCTATATGGTCTAGAGGAGTCAGGTATGGCTGTATTTCTGTAAACTGAGCCAATAGGCCTCAGTGGCAACTTGGGACAAAGGGGATGAAGCACCTCCTAGTGGTGAGTCTAGACCCTGGGATGGTGGGGCTTAGCAGCATCCCAGACTCTGTGAGAGCAGGTACAGTGGCAGCAAGTATCCCAGAATGGTGGGGCACAGCTGTTAGGGCCCTGTGGGAGCATGAAGCAGCACACCAATGACTCTACTTCCTCAGAAGAGAGGTATCTCAGTAGTTCAAACTCTAGCGGGCTAGTCCAACTCCAGGGAAGCAGAATACTAGAGTTATTTTGCCTGTAGGATGGGGTGTCTCAGCTGTTTTTCTTGGATATAGGGTATCTTGTCAATTCAGCCTTAGATGTGCAGCTTCTTAGCTTGAAGTCTGTAAAGACACAGAGTTCCCAAGGGCAATGTGCCACTTCAGCCAGTCCTGGAGGGCAAGACTGGTCTAGATGACCCAGGCACCATTTCCTTGGGATATAGGACACTGTTTCGGCTTAGGTACTGCAGTGTATGACCACTTCAGACAGTCAAGGCACCATTTCCTGGGAGGCAGGTTGTTGCTTCGATTTAGACTTTGGTGAGGTATGACTACCCTGGGCAGCCAAGGCACTATTTTCCTGGGATGTCTGGCATTGTTTCAGCTCTGAAACCTGTGTCAGGGCCCAGTAGTAATCAGAAGGGATGAGAGGCAGTGTGCAACTTCAGTATTGGTTCTGTGGGACAGGTGCAGCAGCGACTGGGAGGGGTTTTGGAGCAGCTCTGCCAGGGCACTTTTTCCTTGGGAGGCAGTGCACAGCCTTGGCTTAGGCCCCTCAGGGCAGGGTGCAGCAGCAACCGGGAGAAGTAGATTAAGCAACTCCACCAAGGCGCCATTTCCTCAGGAAAGATTGTGCAACTTGAGCTCAGGCCCCGGGGGGCAGGGTGCAGCAACAACTGGAGAGGTAGATGGAGCTGTTCTGCTGAAGAACTGTTTTCCTAGCAGGGAGCATGCAGCTCCAGCTCAGGCCCTGTCTTAGTCCATTTGTGTTGCAGTGAAGGAATATTGAGGCTGGGTAGTTTATAAAGAAGATTGGTTTATTTAGCTCATGGTTCTGCAGCCTGTACAAGAAACATGGCAGATGTGCAGATCACATGGCAAGAGAGGAAGCAAGAGAGATGGGGAAGGTGCCAGGCTCTTTTTAACAACCAACTCTCAGGGAAATTCTCATGGGAATTAATAGAGCAAGAATTCACTTATTACCATGAGGACAGCACCAAGCCATTCATGAGGGATCCACCCCCATAACCTTAGCACTTCCTGTTTGGCCTGGATTCCAACATTGGGGATCAAATTTCAACATTAGGCTTAGAGGGTCAAGTATCCAAACTACAGCTCTACCCTTTAGAGCTCAGTGACTGGGAAGGGTAGATAAAGGAATTCCGCTAAGGCACCATTTTCCCAGCAGGCAGTGTGCAGCGTCAGCTTAGGGCCCTGAAGGCAGGGCACAGCCAGTACTGCGAGATGTATATGGAGCTGTTCTGCCAAAGCAAGGTTTCCCCAGCGGGGATTGCACAGCTTCAGCTTTAGCTCCAGACGAGGGGGCAGAAGGAGGAGCAGGTAGAGTGGTTTACAGTCACTTGGCCTCCAGGGAAGGGTGTTTAACAGTTGCTCACAGCTCAGCTTGTGGATATCAGGCCACAGAATGGGGGTGGTTCCATGGCAGCTTAACTTCAGGGATGAAGGGGCCCCCATAGCTCCATGCCCCTGGAGCAAGACACACTCTAACATAGTTCCAGTTCCGAAATGGCATAACAGTAGCCATGCAGGCCACTGGGGGTGGGACACTGTGTCCACTCCTTTGCTAGGAGCACAGCTGTGTGGACTCCAGGCAGCTCCCTCAGCTTGACTTAATGCCTGTGAGGACAGTAGAGACCCACTGGCAAGGTCTGTAGATGTTCAAAGTGTGGATGAGGTAGGCTAGGGTTCTCTTGCTCACCTTTCTGACAATGGGAGAAATTCCTCCTCGCTCCCAGCTGATCCCGGCTGGCGGATGGAATGTAGGAGTCCCTGTGTTTCCTTCTGTTCTCTATGTGGGTATCCTAAGTTTCTGTGTTCATTCAGGTTTCTGTTACTTCTTTAAGGAACTCTGCCACTCTGCTCTAGCTATTTTTATTAAAATGTAGTTATGTATTCATTGTTTTGTCTGTCTTTGTGGTGAGGACATGTGCTAGGGGCTTCTAGTTAGCCATCTTTCTGTCACTCAGCTATCCTTTCTCTTTAAACACTTCCATAGTGTTTGAATTAAAAAATGTATATTGACAAGCCAACATGTCATGTTGTCACTGTGTGGCGGTTATCCCCTGGTTATCTCTATTCTACTTTCAGTCTCTATAAATTTGACAATTTTAGGTCCCTTGTATAAGTGAAAGCATATAGTATTTGTTCTTTTGCTTAAACATAAATTCTTGCATCTGTTCTTGGAGTCACAGGAAAAAATAAGTTACCCATATACCTTGGCCTCCAGCCACCTCTGGTTTGAAAGTACAGACAATCCCCCATTTAAACAATGATTGACTTATAAGTTTGCAATTTATAATAGTGTGAAAGCAATACTCACTCAGTAGAAAACAGACTCTGAATCTTGACTTTTGCTTAAAAATCATTTATAATAATGTTATTATAAAATAGCTTTGTGTTAGATGGTTTTGCCCAACTGTAGGCTAATGTAAGTGTTCTAAGCATGTTTAAAGTAGTTGAGGTTAAGCTATGATGTTTGGTAGGTTACATACGTTAAATACACTTTCAACTTAATGGTATTTTCAACTTACAGTGAGTTTATAAAGACAAAACCCCGTTGAAAATTGAGGAGCATCCATATTGGAATCTTGTCTAAGAGTACCCTGCTATGTGCTTTTCATGCATTACTTCCCACTATCCTCCACCTGTTGCTCCTGAAAACATATATTGTCTGTTCCCTTCTTTGGAATGTTATGATCTATGCCTGGCATTCAACCACCTCATTTTCCTAAGTGCAACTTGTCATTCGACCCAGTACAAGGACCACTGATGTGCACATATGGAATAATTCTCATTTCTCTATGTCATTTAGTATAATGGCACTCATATAACACATCATATGCTGCCTTACAAAGATAATTTTAGTTTAGGTTTAATCTTATTATTTGGTTGTAATCTCCTTGTAGAACAGGATCCAGTCTTTATGCTATGTGATGGCCTTGCTTAGAGATTTAGATATGAGATGCAATAATTTTTTAAGAAGTTAAACAATTGTCACATTAATTTGATGCCTACTCTCTCTCTCCTCTCCCAGTCACCCTTCATACTCATTTCAGATGCAGTAAATTTGACACAAACATATATAGGCTTCCTTAATTGAGTTTTCTGGAAAAAATTTTAATAGTAAAATAGAAATTATTTTACCTAATTTACTCTTTATAATACCATAGATAGATAGAGAGTGAGAGAGAGAGAAATTCAAAGAGGGAAATTCAAAGATATTTTTATAACCCATGCATTCCAGGAGGCTATAATTAGTTAGAAGGACACAATTTATATATGTAAAACTAATGCCAAGATCAGAAGACTTTCTGAAATTCTATACTTGTAAAATGCTTTATGATTTATAAAGAGGAGGTAGAAGTAATAATTCTTATTTTACTGTTTTTTCCCCAGATATTTAATTAGGAGAAATTACAAGTTAAGTGTCAAATTTTCTTCACGGGAACAGATCTAAAACAGGCCAATTTGGAGACATTTGCAGAAAAACAGAGTGATTAGATAATCTTTGTTAGCATAAATGGAAAAAGAACATTGAGTACATATCACTAACCAAATGACTGAGTGGGTAGTTAGTTTTGTAGCTAGTTTTCTAGAATATGTCCTAATACCATTAAAGTTTATTTTAAAAACTTTAAAGCCTTATAATGCAAATGGAAAAGTCAAGGCTCAAGGTCACCTAGCCAGTCAGGAGAGTGAATTTTGACTTCAAGCTCTAAGTGTGTCTCAGCAGCCTCCATGCTCAGGCATGAGTTATGGATGTGGACCCTGAACGCTAAGGTGGTTTAGGAAGGAGGGAGGTCAGTGAAGGTGGAGAGATCAGAAGGTTGACTCTTCACTGAGTCTCAGTGTACAGATGGCATTTGGATAAACAACAAAGAAATTGACACTCAGGCACATTAAGGCAGTGATTCTCAAAGGCGGTTTGTTTCAGAATCACCTGAACCACTTATCAGCACCAGTTTCAAGGTCTCTCCACAAATTCTAATCCAGTGGTCTGAGAAGAGGCTCTGGGCACCAGGGATTTGATTCATCTCTTTAGGTGATTATGAAGGCTAGAGGTTAGGAGCCCGGTTATCTCTCATCTTGTATCCTAATCTTGTATAGTAAGTGCCAATACCAAGGACATAACTAACAGCTGCTCTGAGGGCTTAAGTTTAAGAGAGGGAGGAATATTCAGAGACAACCTGTGCATCCTGGCCACCATGCCTGGCAGCATGGGATACATACAGGAGGTTTATGCCACAGGGGGATATACAGGCTAGTAATTTTATTCCTTATTTCCTAGATTTTCTTTATAAAAACAGTGATGATTCTGTCTGCTATTGTGTACTTTAAAGAAACAAGCTAATCTGCCATATTCCAGATGCATGGCCTTGGTCAGCTTCAACAAGCCTCAGATTCTTGTGTAAGTAAAAGGAAGAGAGTGATATCTAACTCAAATGAAAATTGTGAGGATCAAAAGTAATAATGTGTGAAAAATGCCTAGGACAGAGTATTATTCAAAATTATTACCCTTCTTCCCCACTACCACCATTGTACAGTTTTTAGTTTTTATAACATCTATAAATGAAACCAAACTATCCTATCTCACTATTCCATCAATCAGCGACTTTCAGCCCCACTACCACCATTGTACAGTTTTTAGTTTTTATAACATCTCTAAATGAAACCAAACTATCCTATCTCACTATTCCATCAATCAGCGACTTTCAGCCAAAGGCCACGAGAACGTGTGTGTAGGGCCTATGACTCATTGTAGGGAGGGGAAACACACCCCATGGGGAATCTTGGGGCAACTCAGCAAGAGAGTGTTAGAAACAATCTATGGAAGGATTTGGGTTTTGGTTGGGTGATTAGGGAATGTGGGGATTTGCTATGTATTGGATGCTGTTTGCTGTCAGAAGGCAGGGACAAATTTATGGTTACGTAAAGAAATGTCAGTCACTAATTTTAACCAGAAAAGGGGGTGTTTGGTATTTTATGAGTGGCCCAATGACCTTGTTTTTGTCTGTGCTTAGACAAAAGTGTGCAGTAGACTTGTTTTGTACCACTTTGTCATGGCCTTAGAGTGATCTTACTTGAGCTGCTCTCTTTTTTTCTTTCTCACATCTGAAATAAAAGAGAATGTAGGAGCAAAGCTGATATATATTTGAATTGTGGAAGGTGGAGAAGTGTTGAGACGCTGAACATTTGTTGAGCAGTTTCTGTATTCTACGTCAAGATAAACTTCGATCCTTCTGAGAATCTCACATGTATATTATCTACATTAGGTGGGATTTGAAGCCAGATCTATCTGACTTTTAACCACCAAAACTCCCAGTCTGGTGTGCTGTCACCTTATTGAGCTGTGCTTTGGGCACCATTAGAGCATGCGAATGAATTCCTGCCTGTCTGTTGAAATGGCCTGCCTTTGACTTTACTTACAATAGAAAACATACTTTGATCTAGAATCAGGGATTGGCAATTTTTTTCCTATGAAGAATCAGATAGTAAATATTTTTGGTTCTGTGGGCCATAAAGTTTCTAGTAGGACTACCCAACTGGCAATGTAGTGAAAGAGTGGCCATAGATCATATGTAAACAAATAGGTGTAGTTATGCTCCAATAAAACTTTATTTATAAAATCAGGTGGCAGGTGGAATTGGGCCCTTTGGCTTTAGTTTGCAAACTTTTTATCTAGATGATAAGTAAACAAAGATCCCAAATGAACTTGGGTTTTTAAAAATGTGTTTAACACATTTAAAGTTGCTTTGAATAAGTAAATATGTGTAATAAATATAAAATAAATATGAACAAATAGACACTTTGTGAGGTTTTGGTTTTTCAGGGATTTATTAATTTATTTATAATTTTTAAAAATGCTTATTTCCAAACACAATAGAGAATCAGCATGGTGCCTCATGCCATTTGCTTTTTCCATCTGTATAGTGACAACCAGATCTTGTGAGGCCAAAGTGTTTATTGAATAGTTTTTCTGTCCTTCAGTCTATCAGGCACCATGCTTGGCCCTTCCTTTCATTATTCCTTAAAGGATAACTCTTGTTTGCTAAACTGAGGCTCAGAGATGCTGAACAATTTGTCCTCGGTCATCCAGATATTGTGGTAGAACTAGTGCTGAAACTCACACTTTTTCCACTATACCCTATCCCTCAATTTTTATAAATTATTCAATTGGTGCTCTGGGGCATAAGATCTTTGGATCATCTTCTGAATCATCAAACTAAAATGATGTGATCAGATTGAATTTAGTGCAGAGTGTATTTTGTTACATTTAAATTTTTTGAAAACTTAGAATTAAAGGCTAAATGTGGAAATTAGAATTCAGTACCATAGTGTTGGAGGGCATTGCATATTGAGCCTCAGCATGCTAATTTCCTTTTTATATATTCCTCTTTCAGCAAAGCGTAGCATAATAATGCCACCTGAAAACCAAGATCATCTACCACCACCATGTCAGATTGTCTCCACTGTAGCTTGACGGTAGAAAGATGAGGTAAGGCATATCATGAGAGAGATTTACTCTAAACCTCTCCTACCACATGCTATGCCACTGATCTCAGTCAAAAGGAATTTTCAACTAAAATCTCCTATTCTCTGAATATAGAAAACAAATACAAACATGTATAGGTAACATGTAACGGTACAGGTACCTTCTTATGATTTTATGTTTATAGTCAAAAAACACACAATGATATTTTTCATGCAAATTAATTAAAACAATCTCCTAGTCATATAATGTTTACATTCATTTATACCATATACCCAGCTTCTACATATTTCTGTGGATAAATATGAAAGATATCCCAAAAATATCACAAGTATATTATATATGTAAGATGAAATTTGAAGCCAGATCTTCAAATCTTCAAAACTTTAATATTGCCACTAAACAATATTCTCTTTTAGAAGAGTCTAACCTATATTTTTCTCCTACCACCAGCCTGGTAAACTCACCTGCCCCAGGAAATGGTGTCTGATTCACCTGAGTGTGGATGCTTTATTCTTCCAGTCTAGACAGGATTTGCATCCTTAGCTTATGCTGAAAAGTGAGCATATACCCCTTGTGCATGGAACTATGTCATTGTGGTAGGACATTGTTATAGTGAACATACTCCTAGTCGTTCCATTTGCAAACCTTGAGACAATACATCTTACGATTCATCGTGATTTGGCAAAGAAAATTCTTCCAAATGCTTCAAATGGAATGTAGAAGAAAATGTATGATTATTTTTCCTAAGTCTCTTTCTTTCTCCAGTACCTCACTGTATATTCATTTATGAAAATAGTAATAACTATTAATAAAAGGAAATATAAATCATAATAGATAAATGGTCATCCATATATTTCTCACTTCAATGTTCGAGTGGGTTGTTGGGAGAGGAATGGAGGGAGACTTGCTTCATGACCCAAGGAAAGGCCTTTGAGAAGCACCACTAGATCTCAGCTCAATTCTGTCCTCCGTTCTATTTCACTTCCTATGCAGACTTGCCAGATTTAGAAAATGAAAACATAGGACTCCCAGTAAAATTTGAATTTCAGATAAATGGTAAATATTTTTTTAGTACAACTTTGTTCCAAATATTGCATGGGGTACTTATACAAAATAATCATTCGTTGTTTGCCCGAATTTCAAATTTAACTGAGTATCCTGCATTTTATCTGTCAACCCTACACACAAATACTTAAGGCTCTGAGTTTTCATGTGGAGAGTTTTCTCGTTCAACAGAATTGGATTTAATTTTCTGCACAACCACACATAAGCCTTTAGAAAAGTTGCTTATCCTGGAGCTAATAATTCATATTGTGGAGTTGTCATGAGGATTAAATGGAGAGAATGCAAATAAATCTCCTAGGTTCAGGTTAGGATTCAGCAGCTGCTCAAAAAACATTAGGTAAATGTTTATTTTCTTTTTGCCTCTCAAACTTACTTCAGTGCTTTCCTAACCTTTCTGAGAAGAATAAGGAGCTCCTCCCTTTTCCCTTTTAACAGGCTGTACTTATTTCTGTTGCAGCAACCTACATGGTTTAAGGCTTGTTTCGTAATAATGACATAGACATATCAATTTCTTTCTTGTTTGGTTTGTGTTTGTCAGACATAACTTTATAAGATTTTTTTTCTTTCAAAACTTTCCAAGTCATCTTATTTAAAACATGTCTAAATAATGGCCTTCTAAAGCAATTTTTAGACACAAAGTCTGATTTTAAAAATCTTATTTTTAACTGTAGAGTTTGGTACACTAGTTATCTATTGATAATATGTACATCTATTTCTGCCTTTTAATTTTTTGTTTACTATTTGTCTGTATTTTTGTAGGTTTTATATTTTCTCCTTTCTTCCTCTCTTTTCCCTCCTTTCCTCCCTCCTTCCCTTCTTTTTCTATTCATTCCTCTCCTTCCTTCATTTCTTTCTTCTTAAGTAAGCTTTTTTCTTCTTTACTTCATTTTTTACCTTTACTAGTTCAGAAGATATACACTCTATTTTTACTCTTTTATTGCTGTCAAATACAAATTTTCACATTAATTTAAGAAAACTGAAGTTAAATAATCTTACTTTCTTCTCAAACAATACACGTCTCAGAACACATAGACAGAAAATACCCCCAAAGGCATATAATATTGTTGCCTGGTATTTTAGTATTTTCTTATATTTTAAACTGATAAATTAGATATTATTGATTCATACAAAATATGTTTACCCATATATTTACAGTGTTTTGGAGTATAACATTTCTTCGTTTGTTATTTGATTTTCCTTCTTGTATAACTTTCATTCTTTTTCAAATGTGTCCTCCATGTGTACCTTTAGTAAGGGTAAACTGGTAGTATTATCTTTCAATTTTCATTTGTATAAAAGGTCTTTATTTTGCTCACATTCTTGAAACAATTTTACTGGGTTCACATTGTAGGTTGATTATTATTTTCACTCATTTTTTAAAGATAATAGTCAACTGTCTTCCTGCTTCCACTGCCACTTTTAAGAAGCCACTTGACTGTGTAGAGGATTTTTTTCAGTGGTCTGTCTTCTCTAACTGGCTGCCTTTAATATCAGCTTCTTTTTCCTTAGTATTATGTGGTTTCACTATGCTGTGTCTAAGTATGATTTCTTTTTATTCACCCTGCTTAAAAACTTTTGACCTTACTGAATCTGATGATTGATGTTTTTCATCAACTCTGGAAATTTCTCAGCTATTATCTCTCGAAAAAATTGCCTTTACTTTGCTCTCTTTATCTTCTACTCTGGAACAAATTTAACCTCCATGTGACTTCCTTTTTGTAATTTTCAATTTTCTTACAGGAACATAGCATAGTTGCTAAGAAACAGAACTGAGTCCAAACTCTCTAGGCTGAAATGATGCCTTTAACTCTTAGTAGGCATATAAATTTGAGCAAGTTTCTTAAGCTTTCTGTGCCTCGGTTCACTCAGTTCTAAAGTGGAGGAAGCAATAGTATCTACTTCATAGGATTGTTGTAAGGATTGCAAGATGAAATATGTGTAAAGTGCTAAGAAGCTTGAACAGTGTGCTCTTACTTAGTTTTTGTGTTGCACTCTGAGCAATTGTTTTCATGTCTATTATATGGTTCACCAATTTTTATTTTCTCTTTCTAGTTCTATTAGTATATTTTTCACTTTCAAAAATACAATTTTCCAAAAGTAACTTTTTGGTTATTTTTCAAAATGCCTATTCATTTTTGAAGATCATTTCCTTTTAATATATTACATTATTTTATATATGTATATTTACATTGACATTTGCTTTTGCCAGTTACCTTCTGCCAGATACCCAGAAACTCTGGGCCATTTCAAACTAAATTTTCAACATGGGATTTTTTGAGACCCAGTGATAGTATAGATTCCTTTGTCCAAACTCTGACAAGGCGGTCTTATGATTATGAATTTTTGTGGGGAGAATATATTTTTTCTTTTCCACCCAAAGCTAAAACTAGGACAAGTAAGTAGACTGTGTCTTTCGCTGGAGTGGATTTTTTTCCTGAGTGTTTTCCTTGTCTTAGGTTGTAGCTTTGTGTGTGTATTAGTCTGTTCTCATACTGCTATGAAGAAATACCCAAGACTGGTTAATTTATAAAGGAAAGAAGTTTAATTGACTCACAGTTCCGCATGGCTGGGGAGGCCTCAGGAGACTTACAATCGTGGCGGAAGGCATCTCTTCACAGGGTGGCAGGAGAGAGAATGAGGACCCAGTAGGGGAAATGCCAGTTGCTTATAAAACCATCAGATCTTGTGAGAACTCACTCACTATCATGGGAACAGCATGGGGGAAATCGCCCCCATGATTCAATTACCTCCCACTGAGTTCCTCCCATGACACATGGGGATTGTGGGGATTACAGTTCAAGATGAGAGTTGAATGGGGACACAGCTAAACCATATTAGTGTGGTTGAGTCCAATCTGACTTTACACTTTATATGGGGCCCAGGCTTTGTCCCTGTTGTCCTGTGTATATGGGTCTGTTAACAGGAAAGATCTAAGTCTCCAGCATTGATGAATAACCTCAGAGCTGCCTCTGCTTTTAGTACTCACTTACTAGCTTACCGTTCTTGATTTATGTATTACTAAATTATTCTTTTCTACTAAGACTTTATACTTATTTTAACTCATCCATGAATTTTTAAAAGATGTTTAAAAATTATTTTTGGCATTTTAGGGTACTTTCCACTGTGAACTGAGGTCAACACTTACTGACTCTGCCTCAAATTCCACATCAGAGTTATTGCTGTATTCTCAGTGACAAGCCCAATACTTGGTATGCAATAGCCACTCTAATAATACATATTAAATGAATAATTATATGTATAGTTGAATGTAACCCTGGTATTATTTAGATATTTCTCTAAAAACCCAAGGAAAGCTTATTTTGACATTGAAGACAATTAAAATATGTTAAATTTAAAACATTCTATTAAAACTCTGAAGAGAATACAGGCCTCAATCTGCAACTTTAGGAATTTTTATTGACTTCAGATGGGCAGTCCACAATTCAGGTGTTTGCTCTTTTGAAGAATATTTTTCCATAGAAAATAATACTCTAAATGTTGGTTTGATCACCAGACTAAATGGTAAAACCTATATCACTGATAAATTATTTACATCACAGCATAAATCCATCTAAAGAATGTATTCTCCATTTATAATATTATTTCTATGACCACAGTAGAGAAAGGAAATGCTGGGGACTGCGATATATCAGTTGGATTCTGGCTTAGGCTAGTTGTCTGAAGGAAAGTATGTCTGCAAATCTAGGTTTTTACATTGGAAATTGCTTGCTGTCCTCTTCTCAATATGTTGAGAAAACATATTGAGGGCAAGAAATAAAGTGAGTTCTGTGACTTGGTAAACCTGATTTGAAGTGACAATGAGATGGGGGTCTGAGAGAAAAGATACCAAAGCCTGAGGTTGAAAATTCAAATTTGCAATTGAGAAAATGGTTTTCATCCTGGGATGCCCATTGAAAATATCTGGAGAGCAATAAAAA